AAAAACAAAGAAGATAAATAACTTGAATTGTGATGTTGAGCGTTCGGCTAGAGAACCCTTAGAAGGAACGGCCTGTCACGGTTGATTTCCACAAGTGTGATCCTACTTTAAGATGATGATGAAGAGATGGACTTCAGCTCCAAACAGACCACTTCGCACTTCTTTTGCGTTGGTAATCTCGTTCTTGGCTGCTCTCTCCTCTGCCAGACTGAGCTTAACTGATATCGATTCTAAAACCATCGATATTCATTGTTATTTTGAGTTGGCACACTTTAAAATAGCAAAACAAAATACGGAAAATCAAAACCATTTTTTCATCCATACGTCAAACATTTTCCATACAAGCGACATGGGAAAGTGAATGTTTTCCTTGAATGTGATAAACCTTTGGCAGTCCTCGGGTACTGTGTTTTTCACACCTTACAGGCTCACACATTTCATGTCACATGGGATTTCTCTTGAAACTTCAAATTTTCCTAATTTTTCAAGATTCAGCGAAATTTCTGATTCGTAGAATCGATCTAGGTCTAGCTGAGTCTCGAAGAGAGGTCAGCAGTGAACCAACTGATCACGGTTTTCTCATAAGCGAATGAGTGGAGGTACGAAGTGGTCTAATTTAAAGCTTAAATAGAGTATCCTGTAAATGGTGTAGGAAAACTTCAAAAGAGCCGTTCAATACGATAAAGGGCTCGCTTCCCTCTAATAAATGGACTTTACTTACGCTCAATCACGGTCTTCACTATTAGGGAACAAAGGTATCTGGGTATGCATGTCCATTCTTTAGTCTTTAATGAATGGCTCAGTTCTATTAGTAGAACTGACAAACAATCTCATTATGCTAATAAATCTGAGGTTCTGCCACTGATTCAGGCATTTGACACTTACACGCCTCTGGAAACAAGTATCTGCAGATAGCTTAGATCGAGTACATACCTCTTTGCACCTGCTTTGGATTGACTTTAACGTGTGGATGAACTTCTTGGCGTAGTGGTACACGAAATATTCCTCTAACCAATAAGTGATCTCTTCCTCAAGGTATGGCGAGTTATGGACAATACTTCAGTCTCGGACGAGACTGGAACCCGTACTTGTGCTATCCGGTACCGTGCTTTTTCCCCTTGAACTACCGAGATCCCGCTTACCGTCGCCTTCTCGATCTCTTTCCATTTAAATGAGTGTGCTTCCTATAGAATGAACGGATTTTTTATGCCGTCCTAGTGCTCTGGCTCACACTATTCATTTGATAGTAGAACCTCAGTTTTAGTTGCTTTTAGCTGTCGTTTTGAGAAAAGTGACGCTTGCCGAAATTTGAAATGTAAAGAGGTGGTCGTTTGTTCCGAGTCGAGGCAGGAAACTTCATCGGCGGTCGTTGACTGGAAAGAGAATTTATGACCATTTTTTGGGAAGCGCTTTCACTGGAAACGTCCCATATGAAGATGATTGGATTCCATCATAACTCGCTTGAATTACCCCCAAGTTGATCGATTCAATAAGAAACGTTCCCAGTTGGACTAGATGGTGAGGTCTCGAGAGGCAGCCAGTCAGAAAAGCTCCACACTTCTCCGACTTTCTCCATACACACCCCTCTTCGGAGATTCGCCGATGCACAAGCATAGGTCGAGAAGAGCTCGATCGGTACTATTTTTATTTTGATTTATGTTTGTTTTACCTCCAGAAAGCTCCTTTCAACTTCTGAGCTCATGTGTTTTCAGGAGCTGTCGATGGTTCCAAATCGACCGGCGGTTTCGCCACCGCCACAAATGGGTCCTACACCGCTTGAGAAACACTACCATCAACTTCAGTTCAAGGTGCAGGCCGGCTACTGGCGGGTGCATTCGGCTCGAACGTTATGCGGTGACAAGGTTGGTTCGGTCCTCATTTCTAAAATTCACCCAGTACCTTCACTGTAAGCCGCGTTACCCCACCCATTATAGTCTTGACTTTTCCCAGGTACTGAGTTTTCCCTATTGCGGGTTATTTTCCCGAATGTTATTCCTTCCAACAAAGCAGAACAAAGGATTGTCCTTGTAGGTGTTACAGACGATGTACCTAGGGACTGCCACATCATTGTAAGCCACGTCATCCCTCCTAGTCCCTCCCTGCCCTAGTGCTGCACCTTACTCAGTGGCGATGCCTGCGCACATAAGCTGGAGAAGAATCACTTACCCCAGCTTCGTGAAGTCTTCGGAACCACCCATTAACCGACAATTCTTTGTCTCCCATTAGCCTCATCAAACTTGATTCAGGAAGCTTCCGTAATGGTGTTCGATCGAAAAAACAACGTGAAAGCACCACCGAGGATAGGTCGTATGAATAAATTTGCGCTGGTCGACCTGATCAAGTTGGTTTTCCGTTTAATACTACTTCCTTACGTGGCTGAGTTGTTTTACTGGTCGGCTGATCATGGTTCTTNCCTTGCCCTTGTAGCGCGCAATCGCGTGTGGTGAGCGCGGCACGAATTCCGGGGAGAAGTTACCACACCTGAGCCTACTGCTGTCTACTGCTGTTCATCCTCCTTATTTGGGTGGCAAAGTAATTCAGAGCTTCATTAAAAATGTAGCGTAGTCTGGGAGGCAGGATTCCCACAAGGACATAGGTAATGTCTCAGTTCCTATATGACGCAATGGCAATCCAGTAACTACGAAACACATACATTTCTAACGAAATACCTCAGCCATCACTTGCCACGGGAATTCAAGAGTGACTGGTATGGGCATTGGTCAGATCTGAGTGGCTGCGGCGACTGTTCCAATGGGCGATTGCAGTCATTGAAGTTTGTGGCCGCTAGAGACTGTTATCATATACAAATTGCTTGTGCACGCTCTTGCCATGAACTTCGGGCATAACATGCACCACCCATTGAAAATATGTTGAACTCAAACAGTTCTGGGTTTTCCCAATTCAAATTCTCACCCATAGAGGACTTTAGTAGACACGATGAAACAGGAACCTATTGAACCTACTTCTTTGGAGGGGGAGGTGGTATAGTGGTAAGAGGCGCACTATCGGGCATGGCCACGGATTTAGATCCCGAATCGACATCCGCCTAGTTCAATCGAGCCTTCCATCTTTATGGGATCGCTGAATTGGACCAGACTCAACTGAGAGGATGATTGCCCTGGCTAGTACATCTGCTGGCCAACACAAGTCATTGTATAAGCCATAAACACATTCAATGCGCCACCACGGTTATGAATGGAAGTCAAATGCAAGGCGCTTTCCTCAGACGTGATTGATCAGCGTCCCAGAAATTTATCCTTTTTCCTCAGTTTTTTTATAAGGGGGGGGGGGGGGAAAAAAGCTTCTACAAC